CCAAATATTTTAATGATTATTACATTACCTGGAAGTTGACCTAGAATACATTAATACATGCTTTACTAAGAATTAGCTCATGAGCTCATAAAAAAAACTTTGAAACTTATACCTCATATACTTTGTAGTTCTGACTGGAAAATTGAAAGAGAAATAACATGTGCTTCATTAATTTTCAATTTATAATGGAATATGAGCCAAAAAAGTAATCAGATACATGAAAAATAGAAGATCTATATTAATGGATGTTAATACAACTTTCATATATATATATATATATATATATATATATATATATATATATATATATATATATATGTAAGGATATAGGATATTCTGGAAGATTAGTTTGAATATGGTAGTTGCATCTGAAATGCAAACACCATAAATGAGGAAAACACAAACTGAAAGTGCAGAAAAACTTGCATAGATAAACTTAGTATGACAGATCTAACATAAATTGCTGTGTCATAAAGATAAACACTTTGAAGTGTAAGGCACCATGTTAAGAAATCACATTACACTTACTGGTCCTTATTAGAACCCTGACCTTTTGGTCTATTTGGTCATCCATGGACACAGGCAACAAAAGGAGGCTGGCTGTGACTGGAACTCAGCTTTCCTAAGAAACTGTGCCTTGTCCTGAGACTGGAGAACAAGTCATTTGCATAATGAGTTTTTCAGCACTACACACTGCGTACCAATGCACATTGCAGGCAACCTTCACCCATTCAGGAAACTGAGTGCAGTACTAACCAGAACCCTTGGTCACCGGAAAATTCTTAGTACACCCAGAAACTTGGTTTATATTTTTTAACAGTATTTCTCACAGTATCCCACCAAAGGACAAGCAAAGCAAATGTGGAGGCTGAATGACTGCACTGTTGTGTGATGGTGTTCACAGGAGTTTTCAGGTGAGGGAAGAGACGAGAATGTTGACTCCATGTTTAGAAGGCTTGATTTATTATTTTATGATATATATATTACATTAAAACTATACTAGAAAGAATAGAAGGAAAAGTTTCATCTCAGAAGTCTAGCTAAGCTAAGAATAGAATGGAATGAAAACAAAGGTCTGTGGCTTGGACAGAGAGAGCCAGCTCTGCTGTGACTGGTCACTAATTCCAAACATCCACATGAGACCAATCACGGATCCATCTGTTGCATTCCACAGCAGCAGATAACCATTGTTTACATTTTGTTTCTGAGGCCTCTCAGCTTCTCAGAAGGGAAAAATCCTAAGAAAGGGTTTTTAATGAAAAGATGTCTGCGACACTGTTGCCCCCACCTTCTGTGCTTCAGTTTTCAGAAGTAAAATTTCCATCCTTAGCCCCAAGTGTCTGACACAATTGATATGAATCTCATCAGGTGCAATGAAAAGAAAACTTACGACTGACCCATATAAGAAAAGAAAATTAATCTGAAAAGCATCATTCTTTGTATTTTTCTCAGTCTCTTAACAAATGGACCAAGGACAACAGGAATGGTAATTACAGGGAACGTTAAATGGCAAAACTATAATCAGAGACAAATTCTGCAAATATTTGATACACTATTAGCTCCAAAAATCATGAATTCATACAAAACAAAAAATGTCAGAAATATCTCCCCGTGTATTTAGACCCTATTGTTTGAAGCAAAGGACTGCTGCTTACATGTTGTCTTTGATAGTTTGGTTAATTTCACTTTTTTTCCAGAGCAGAAGCTAGCAGAGAAGTAGAGGCTGTCCACTGCCTTAAATTTTTTTCTTTCAAGGGAGGGAAACCATCTTGAAGAAGCATTTTGATAAAACATGAACATTTCCTTCTCACCATCCTTCGCTGTAGTCCAACTGTAAAGCTGGATCAAATAACACTTTCCTGAAATAAAAATCAGCTCATAAAAAGAACCTTATCTTTCTACTATCCAGCTGCTCACTCTTGAAAAGAGAAATAGAAGATAAAAATGCAATTCCATTCCCAAAATGTGGGTAAGAGGAAAAGATTTGCTTGACTTTAGACTATAGTCTTTAGACTATTCTAGGACAATATCTGTTTCTGAAGATGCCCAGTGTAGACCCCAGCCTCCCCTAGAACTCCAAGGATGGACACTGTGCCTCAGCAGCAGGGCTGGAAGTGGAGCCTGGTGGGGTAAAGAAAGACAGTACAATGCAGAGGACTCTGCACTTGATCCAAATTCCAAATTATGAGAAATAAGCCCATCTGTAATACTAATTACTGCCAACACCTTCCACAGAACAGTTAAGTGGAAAATATCACAGCAAGTGAAATAATTGTTTGTCATTTCTATGTCTTTACACAGAGAATTCATGCAGATACTTCTGTGATAAAAGCCCTTACAAACAAATGTGAAGTCAATGTCACCTGTGATCTCTGATATACTCAGATCTATCAGGATAAAGAAAACTATTCTGAGTACCCTGAGTTGGAAAGAAGTCACTCCTTCATTGAATTCAGATACTGTGACAAGAAGAGATTGCATGAACAAGTAGCTGCTCTTTGAATGATCAGAGTTTATGTCCTGAGAGTTTATGTCCTGGACCACAGACAAATTAAATTACAAGCAAGTTGGTAAATCTGTTTAACATTTAGTGAGTTATAGAAAGCAACAAAGAAGCATCATGACAATGAAATTAAATGATCAGGGTTGTCCAGTGTTGTTGTGAATTTGTAGCTTTCATCTCATTTTGTGCCTTTCCAATTGTTCTAACACAGGACACCACCATTATTGCCAGGTGCAATAATGAGAAGTGCACCTGGAAATAGCAGATGCACAGAGTAACTCTACAACTCACTAACAGAGTGGAACTCTGCTGCTGTTAATATATATTTATATTGCAGGACAGACAAAGGGCTTCAACTGGGTTCTGTGTCCCACTGTGCTGTGCATTGTGGAAACACAAAAGGGAACAAAGTCCAAGCCCCAAAGGGCTCGCAGTGTAAAAAGATAAGTGATATAGTGAAGAGAAAAGCAAGGGGATGCATTCAAAATAGACTGACTTTTTAAATACCTACATGCATTTGTCATCCCTTCAAGCTGCCAAGAGAGAAGAATAATCCTGACCTGCTTCCTCAAATCTACTGTACTCTGTTTGAATATTACTCCCAATGTTAACTGATGCCTGGTTAAGATTCTCCTTTAAAAAAAAACAAACAAAACAGTTTTAAACTAATTGTATTTCCCTTGATTTTACAAGGGCATGCAATTAGAAACAATAAAACAAAATTAAGTGAAAACTGAAACAGAATGGGAAACACAGTGAGAAGTAGTGATTCTAAGTGAGAATTTAGTTATTCTTGCCCTTGACAATTGTTGGACATATTTTCATACAGACACAGATAATGTCCTCTAATTCCACTTGAGGAGTCTATTCCTGTCAGTTAAACATTATCTAAAAGTCCCTATGGAGGTGTTCGTTTAAAGCTGATGCTGGCACAGTTTTTCACTCTTTTCTAGCCATCTGGTCACATACTGAATTGTCAGCTATTTTATCTAAACCCAAGAGAAGGCTGAAGGAGTAAACAAAAATACCAACAAGAAAAATCTCAGGGTTCAAAGTAACCACAACACTCAAGCCTAAAGTTATGATTTCTTCTTACTCACAAAATTCACACAAAAGATACTTAATAAAAAACCCACAAAAGCTCAAAAGGTTGCAACCTGAGGCTATTTTGAAACCCCTCTCCCTCCTCAGCCTATATGCAGAGCTGTAAACACACTGAGCATTTGTATTGCCCCCTCTTCCCCCACCCCACTCCCCTAAAAAATTGATAGAAAATATACATATCCATTCCTTTACATTTAGGACTTAGCATCCCAGAGGCCGGTAATCAAAATTATTTTGCACGACACTCCATAAAACGTTTTAAGATCAATTTTTAAATGCTGATGCCTCAGTCCTACGCTTTCTCTGCATACTGACTTAAACAACAGAATGTGGAATCTGACTGTCTCATTAAAGCACCCATATGAGAGAACCTGCTACAGTTCTATACAAATAGAAAAGAGTCCCAGTACATTAAAATGAAACCGAATCATCTTAGCAAACCTCTTTTTTCCTCATGGTCTTCTCTCTTCTCTGTGCAACGTTGTTCCATCTTACACACACACTTAGATGTGCCATAAGTGCTTCTTTTAGAAAAGTGCATAAAAGCTATCCACAGCTCTCCTAAGAATGAAACAGTTTTAATATTTTCTGATCCATGTTCCTGCCACAAACATTCACCGGCAGTATGATAGCTCCAAGAGGAGACATCTGATTCTTGACATTTAAAGATACAATACTGGTGAAAAATAGTGACGCTGTATTAACTGCAAACAGCTTGTGAGGGAGTAGGTGATGTACTCCTAAAATGTATAATCAGAACAAGCAATAATTTCAACCTTTTGATTTTTTTATTTTTGACTCAGAGCCATAAAAAAGAGGAATAGCCTGATAAACAAATCTGGACACGTTACAATAACTGTTTTAAGAGAATTTATATTCTATGGCAAAAAGAAAAGTAGGCTGTTTTCCTGCTGGAGAAAGTATTAAGGTACCCCATAGTTTCTCAAAAGGGTCTCAAAAGCTTTCTTAAAAAATGAGCACTAAATGAAAGCAAAATTGAAATTACAGAAATCAAAGAATTTGTATCCTGGTAACATTCAGTTAATTGACATTGCAATGCTAAATGAAAGCACTAAAACATCAAATTCCCCATACCCCTACTGTGACAGCCTTATAAATTCAAAAGGTACACAGAAAGGTCTTATTTTTCCCACATGAAAAAAAATTAAAATAATCCTGTTCTAACATGAACCGTTACTTTGAAATATTGAATTCTGGACCAAAAAAAAAAACCCCAAGAGCTGATATATTTTTAATTTTAGTAGTAGAACCCCTTGTTTGGTGGTCAGTGACCTCTGGGGAAAGTTGAGACATCAGAGCAAACCTCCATCCCCCACAAACACCTGAGACAAGGCAGAGCACAGTTAACAGCAACCAGTTCTCCACACTGTACCTGGAGGTACTGACATGACCGTTCCTGCTGGCACGTCTCTGCCTTCACCACTGTCTGGTCCATGTTAACTGATGCTTTCTGGTAAACTTCACGGGCTCTGCTCACGGTTAATGTAGAGGACCAAGAGCTTTTCTTCATTAACTGGGAGTCCAAATTCACAGGCAGGTTTGCACAGGTAGAGCATTTGACATCATTATTGCTTCTGGAGGACTTCACAGTATGCTCGCTAATAGTGTTATAGGCTTCCATAAAGTATTGGGAAGAAGAGCGATCAGGGCATCTTCCCATGGTCATGACCCCACTGGGACCATGATAAATGCAAACATCATTGTCCAAGTTGTCATCTGAACTCCACCATCCTGATGCATTGGATCTGGGCTTACCTTCTGATCGCCTCTCCTTACTCTTGCTGCGCTTCCCATACCTCATCGTCTGTGACTCCTCTGGGCTCGCTTTCCCCCCATTGACGCTCCCCTTGGATGGTCCTTCCAGCGAGTGGGACTTGGTGAAGAGCTTTTGGACAGAGTGAACCAGGTGCCGGATCCTGCCCGGGCTGTCGCTGCGGTGCTCCATGGCAGTTCGCTTGTACTGCAGAGTGTGGTAGCCATCCCGATTCAGGGGCAGCTGCCGCTCAAACTGGTCCAAGAGGTTGGCAGGAATGCGGTTGGTCTTGTTGGCAGTTCCGTGGGGAACCAGAGCACACTCGTCCTTGAGTTCGTGGTGGGAGCTGTAATGCCTCCGGGGAAACGTGCTGCTGGCAATCTGATCGTTGTAGGGCACCATGCACTCGGCCTGGAAAGAGTTCCTTTGAGTGTAGTAAGGGTGGTCTGCGGGGTGGGGCTCCACCGGGTTTAACAAATATGGCTTCCTGTCCTGGTGGTGTGGCAGGCTGTCACACGCAGGGTCACAGGCAACCCCGTGATGGTGACTGCGGCTGCCGGATAATCCCTTCATCCTTGGTGGAAAACGAGTCCCAAAGTCATCTAATACGTATGGCTGTGCGGCAGGCAGAACTCAGAGAAAGGCCTAAAAGAAAGAAATACAACAGAACACATAATATATTCCAGCTGAGACAATAAACAGCATGTGCACACACTTAACATTCTTTGTTTCTTATTGCAAAAGTGACTGGAAAAAAGTAAACATTCTCAGACTCTTTTTATCCTTTAATCTTTCCCACGTCCAGCATGGTGATAGGGATACCTAAGCAGTACACAAGAAAAATTATCTTGTTCCATTAGCTGCAAACTGACACCAGGCAATGTTTCCAATATGAAAAGCAAGATAGGTATTGCCACCTCTACTCTAAAACCTCAGTCCTGAAAACATTCAGGGACAGGGACCTCCCAGGATGCCTTAACTGCCCATCTGCATGTTCTCAAGGCCAAATGGACATACTAAAAAAGATATTTTCTTTAATCGCACACTTTCTGGGCTTCTTTGGCCCAAACACAAAGCATGGTGCAATTAATGGGAAACCTTTCTCTAACTTCAGTGAATATATTTACTCAATCTCCATGTTGTCTGCCTGGACTGTAATCATCTCAAGGCAACAGCAAAACATTATTTCCATAAGTTCTTTTCAAATTAAGAGTAAAATAACAATAAATTACACTAACTGTCAAAACGAAGCCAAACCAACTAATTAACATCCTATATATCTGTAGGGTTTATATTTACTATTTTTTGGCTCCTACTCACTAAAAAAACCCCCATCTTATTCTGCTAATGTATGGCTTGATTTATTTCTCAATAATTTTTCATTATTCTACACAGTGTTCATATATCCCTACATATTCCTACCATTAAAAGAACTGGGATAGCCAAACCTTGTTGTTACACAAGAATAACAGTTAATAACAATACACTTAATTCTTGATTGCAGTTATTTGTCCCTGAAGTGACTCGCAATGCTGTAGATTATGGATTACAACAAATTGAAAATGGAAATCTTCATCCCCACTGTATAATGACCACTCTGTTTGAGGCCAGATGCCCTCATTTCAGCCCTCAACTCCAGCAAAAGTCTGGATGCAACCTATGACTACTAATGTGTAAATTATGAGGTTTCAGGTGTGGCAAAGCAGTCTGATGGTGCCATCTGAGAAAATGAGGGGCAGAGGACTCCTTAGAGGGTGCTTACTTATACTGCACTGAAATGGGAGTCTCTCAGCTACTTTACTCATTTCTGGCATAGCTAATCACATAAATATTTTTGGAAATGTAGCTCTGGAGATCTTTCTTGGAGTAAGGACAAACATACATAGCAAACAGGTTTCCACTATGCTCCTCCAGCACTCTCTCAGCTAAAGTTCATGTTTTAACAGGTTGTAGATGTTGTGCCCACTGGCAAATTGGTAACAATGAAGTTTTCTAAAATAGCATTAAGTTAATGTCAGTCTGGAAAAGCAAGTTCCTGACTTCATCAGAACTTATTTTATATTTTCTTCTGAATCTGCAGCAAGCCAAAGGGGAGTTTTTTTCAGTATGCTTCCAAGCTAATCTGGATGTCCTGCATTTTATTCCCCCTCACTGGATCCCTGCAGTGCAGAAAATGTTCCTTCTCAGGAGACCTTGAATTAAAAAAAAGTTTTCAAAATATCACAAAAGGCTCTTGAAATATTCTAAATAGATAAGATGACTGATTTATCTAAAGAGGAGAATGGCTAAAGGCACATTTAAAAGCATGAAAATAATATATTTAGGGAGCTGTACTTGTCAATTATACTGTAGTGACAATCCTAAGTACTTCTAAGGAGAATTTTACATCCCTAGCATAGTTTTAAAAATGTGATCTACTAGTCTGTGTTACTGAGAAACATCCAAAGGGATGTAGTAGTATATTAATTAGTTAGGTAATTGAAAATGTGACTTGAACAAAGATACCTCATCAAGCAGAGCACTTCTAAAGGATATAGAGACCAAATAAAAAATAGTTCTTTGCTATCTATGAATATCTTTTACACATCAAGGCTTATGAAAACAAAATTTCAGCCAGTTTTTTTTTTTTGCTTAAATCCATAAATCCATTTGCAATCATGCAACAGTCCTTATGATGATGGATAAATTCTCTTAAGGCTAAAAATAGACTAGTGTGCCATATAAGATAAAAAAATTTAAACCTTGCCTCAAAGATAGGAGAAAGCTATGAAAGAGTACAACTAACTGGGACATGCCCTAAAACAGCAATTTATTTTCATTTTTTCCTTATCTGAATGGCTATGAAATTTTCATATACTGTGGAAAAAAGAGTATATGTAGGAAAAGAACCAAAAGTAACAATAATTTACAGCATTGTGAAGTATGACAGGCACAGGAGATGTAATGGAATTATTGAGAAAATGTAACCTTAATATACTGATACAGAAAATGGCTGGGATCAGGAAACCCTTGATCTGGTTTATAGACTGGGACAGAATATTGTGGAAAACCTTGAAACTGAAAACAAAAGATGCAGCTATGGTTTGACCAATGAGAACAGCCGTGTTACCAGCTGTGTTTTGGATGGACTGGCAATATGGATGCTAAGGAGGATGTGCAAAAAGTGGTAAAGAGTGAAAAAGCTTATGAAAAGTGACATTTGTCTGTATAGAGAGAAAACGACAGGCTTTCAAAAAAATTGTGGAGGAAGATTGGCCAAGCACTGCTATATGAGCTTGGATGGCAAGTAGGATGGAAATGTTTAGGAGAAAAAATGCATGTATTTTGAGTCTGAGCTGTCAATGGATCTTTTATGAGGAAGTACTGGAGAAAAAAGCAGAAGATAGATAGGATGATCTGCCCAAAAGGAATCAGATGAACAGATAAGGAGAATAACAGAGAAAATGCTTGTGAAAGCAAAAGATCATAGAGTTATGAAAAATCAGATTTAAAAGAGGAGGAAAAAAAGAAGAAAAAAACAAAGAAGCAAAAACCAGAGTGATAGAAGAATCAGGCCAAAACCAAAGGGGAAAAACCAACCAAACAAAAGGAGTGCAACAAAAAGAAGTGCTAGCAATTTATTCCCAACTCCTAGACTGCTGGATGCATTAAGAAAGGGGTTTTTTTCCTGGTGAAACAGCACTGAAACATTTATTTTATCATGAAAATTGTGACTAAAAAGTCCCACACAAGCATTTACTAGAATATAGCTTCATTTTACCTTAACTGTATTACTGCTAGGACAGCATTGAAAGTGCAATGAATTAGGAAAAAACCCAATTATGTACCATAGTGCACCTTCCAGGAAGGAAAGAGTAAGTACACTATGCTCAACATTGAAGAAAGAAGTGTTGCTTTTCTTAAATATTCAGTGGACAATTCTTCTGCGCAAAATCACTCCAAACACAAAACCTAAATCCCTCTCACACCTCAATCCCATTTTAATATGTTAATATATGTCTAGAAAAAATATCTATCCTACAGTCTCTGATTTCATCAGTATTTTTCAAAGAATATCTATCATATTCCATAATTGTGTTGTCTGAACCTATACATCAACGTTTAGTGCAATTAGCAGCTGGAGACAGGGCTATCTGTTCATGCCATGAGTAGCTGAGAGGAAACCAATTAAGTCTTTTATTTTATTGGTATTTTTTGGCCAAAACAGGAACACTTGATTATTCATGAAATAGGGCAAGACAATTGATGAACACATTAATAAACAGTGCAAATAGCAATTCTATAGACAGCAGACCAAAACTATTTGATGGCATAGGAATAAAGGAGATGTTAAAGAGATACAGCATTGTAAGGATGAAGAATGCTTACTACTTTCAACATTCATGTTACATTTGCTTTTGTTTTTTTGAGGATGCCCTTGGTAAGAACAATACAAATATATTCATCCTTGTCCCTAATGTGGTGTCCCTAATGCATAACAATTCCTGGAATAATCTAGTGGCTAGAAAAATGCCTATTTAAATCCTATGTAATTAAAATGAAAAGGAATGCAAAATAAGAAAACCTGAATGCAGAAATCACTTTTTTTTCTTTTTTCACAAATTTCATTTAACTATATTGTCTACTCATGTGTTCCAAATTTACTCATAAAACACATCTTTGACAAACATATTCTTTCCCTTAGATATATGTTCAACCTTCTGTCTAAGAAAAGATTTACTGATATGGCCCTGAGCCCCTCTGGCTTCGTCCAGCAAGACTGCAGAATGCAGAATATGCTGGGGCAGAGGAAGGACTCCTCTTTCTGAGCAGCAGCATTCCCTGTCTCCTCTGCCACTTAAAGGGGAAAGAGGTAGAGTTCAGGAAGGAGGGAGGGGTGGGAGGATGGTGTTTCACTTCTCATTATGCTGTTCTGAATTTGACCAGTAACAAATTCAATTAGTTTCCCTGGGTTGAATCTGTTTTCACTGTTACCCATCATGGTAATTGGTTTGTGAACTGACCCTGTCCTTATCTCAACTCATGAGACTTGTTTTTCTCTCCCCAGTCCAGGCATGGAGGGGAGTGATAGAACAACTCTGGTGGGCACCTGACATCCTGCCAGAGTCAACACCCCACAGGCTGATGGATCTGTGCTTGCCTGGGTCCTCCTTTTTGCCCCTTTTTGAAGGCAGGGATAACATTTGCTTTCCTCCAGTCCTCAGGTACCTCTACTGACTGCCATGACCTTTCTAAGATGATTGAGAGTGGTCTAACAATGATGTCCACTGGTTCCTTCAATGCTCATGGGTGCATCACATCCCATCAGGGCCCACAGACTTCCGGATGTCAAGTTTGACTCTGTGGTCTCTAACCCAATCCTCCTCAACCATGGGGAAGTCTTCTTTTCTCCAACATGGAAGTCACCAACAGAGACACCCTCCTAATTAGGCATAATCAGGGCCACAGCACCTTGGATCTAATATCTTTGTCTGTTCAGAGACCAAGGAGTGAGGGACATTGAATTTTTTTATTGTTTGGTGAGTGTGGTTCTTCTAAGATACCATTCCAAGAATCAGATGACTTCTGAATATTCAGGCGTCTGCCAGGTCCAGAAATTGAAGCACTGGGACAGAGGTGGAAGGCAATGTAAACGCTTAATGTGT